AATGCACGAATATTCTTAACAAAAAAAAAATGATCAAACCTATTTTAAAATATGTTACTTGAAGGATATAACATTTCTAATAACAGCTATATATAATTAAAAGCTGAACCTTTGCATATATGTTTTAAATGCTGTATAATTTTTATGTTTCTCTGTAAATTATAAATTAATTCAATTTTAAATTGTTATCCACTCAATAGAGATATTGAATCTTATTAAAAATTTTCAATAAAAAGGTGGTTTTGTTTTCTCTGAAACTGATTAATAGAATATGTCTAATAATGTGTCCTCAGTTGTTTGATTTTAATTTGTTCATTTTATTAAATCTTAATTTATACAGTTTATTAAAGTTTTTCTTCACAAGCACTAAACATCTATATTAAGCTAGGTGTCAGTGTAAAAGAGATTAATTCATTTCCAAGCACCAGATGAATGCTTATCTACATGCTTACAATATATATTCAGGTAAATCTTTCTCTGGGCTTTCTTTTCTTTTTTCTTTCAGTAAAAACCTGTCCAATGTTAACTGTTTTTGCCTGCGTTGTAAAATTTTTCTAAAATGAGACATGGCATTGGTGTACAAGTTCTTTGGTGGTAAGTTCATTACGGTGATCTTTCACCAGCTCTTCAGTATCTTCACTGTTGATATACAAGCCCATAATTTTTTCCATAGAGACATTATCATCAACAATAGCAATTTCCTCAACAGCAGCAATATTTATAGCTGTCTCAAATACCTCGAAGTCTTCCTCTGATACACAGTCTGGCTCAAGTTTCCTCCATACTGAATTCATGGTTCTGTAACTCACTTGGTTCCATGCATTATCAATAAGATTAACACAATTCAGGATATTGAAATGATTTTCCAAAATTCTCTGAGAGTTAACTGAGACGGCTTTTGTGTAAAGTTTCTTAAAGTTTGCAATGACCTGTTGGTCCATTGGTTGTATTAGAGGAATTGTGTTAGGTGGCAGGTATTTTGCCTGAGTAAAATCAAACTCTTCAACTAATTCATCCTCCAAAACTGGAGTGTGATCAGGAACATTGTCTAACATGAGAAGGCATTTTAGTGGCAAGTTTTCGGCATGCTATATGTACACACAAAAACACACACATACACATATATATTTTTTTTCCCCATATTGTTTGTGTGTGTTTGTGTCCATGCAGCCACGTGCACATCTGTGCAGATGTACATTCACATGCATGTGCCCATCTGCACAGATATGCATGCATAAAGGTTATTGTGATCATTTGTCCTTTTCTTCATCTTTTTTTTTCACTTTACACTCACTTCATATCTTTTTCTCTTTTTTTTCCCCTCTTTTCTTTCATTTGTAGCCATTTGTGGCTAATTATTATGATCTCTAGACATGCCACTGTTTTACATTTTTGATTTTTGAGTGTTCTAGTCTTTTGGATTGGGAAAGTTTTATTTCATTTCATTTTTTTACATAAATAATTGATACTAATGCTTAAATGATAAATATTGCACATATACAAACGTGTATACACAGGCACATGTACACTTATGTCTGTACTTTGTTATTAATAAACTAGTGTCTAAATGGTAAAGTTATTATTTTATTTTTAGGATATTAATTATGGTTGGTTGGCTGGTTGGGTTTATAGAAAGTATTCTTTGTTGTTTGAATAGTATATACTCCCACACATTCATGCACACATACACCCACACACACCCGCATGCATCCACATATATATAATTGTTAAATAGTGTATATGTATTAAATTGAATATTTTCTTATATCATATGTCATCATTTATCTAATGTTTCAGTTTTATTCAATGGTTAGTTTATTTTTTTGCCTTGATGTTAAATATTGAGTTATTGATTATGGAGGGATAGGTTTGTAGTTGTTTGAGTGTGTGTATGTGTGTGTGTCTCTGTGCGTGTGTATATTTATATGTACATGTACACAAGTGTAGGTGTGCATGTTTAATATTTGGTTGTTATTTATTAATAATTAATCAATTTTAAGTTTATATTATATTTATTTCATTTATTTAAAGTTTATATTTATTTGTTTATTTTTTATTAGTGTTTAGATTCAAAGAAAGTATTTATTTATGTACCTACATTTACCCATTATTTCAGTTTTCTTGTTTAAGAGTTTATTTTGGTTTTTAAAACTAATTATTGCTCATTTTTCCTTTAAGCATAATTTATAATTTTTATTGTTAGTGCTGTATGGGGCTGCTCTTTGTATGATTTTTCCATTTAATTTTGGTGTGGATATTGTTTTCTTTTTGACTCCATATGTATTTTGATAGGATTGTATTTTTTGCGTATTTTTTCTTTCAAAAGACATTTTGCAGTTATAATATCTTTCTTTTAAGGTTTTTCTGTGGCGCCTATATCATTTTTTTTTTTATCTCTGTTAATGTTATTAGTTACAATAGCTTTGTATATTATGTTATTGGTTAAATATTTATTATTATTTGGGCAATTTTCTTTGATGGTGTTATTTTTCTGTATGTTATTATTGTTGTTGTAACTGCTATTGATTTTTGTTGAGTATTTTTTTATTGTGCTTAGTTATTATTTTCCCCATGCTATCCATGCAGCTGTAACTAATTATGATTGTATTTTTATTGATAATTTGTTGTTTTTAGAGAAGTGTTTGTCAATTATTTTGAAGAATATTTTCCCTATTTTTGATTTTATTGTATTGTTGTAGGATGGGTTTAACCAAATTATATATGTTTTCTGTTGATTTTGCTTGAATTGTTTTCATTTTTGTATTCTTTTTTGTCGTAATATCTACTGTTTCTTAGGACTGATTCATATGCTTTATTTTGTTTTCATTGAATATTTTTAGGCTACTAGAATTTGTTGAAATTCTTTTATTTATAGATATGGGTATTTGTTTGAATACGTTAAGGGGGTTGTGGTTGGAATTTTTGTTATTTTATATTGGGTTTTTGTTTGTTTTTTGTTTGGTTTTCTTTATGGTTTGTAGGGTCTATTGTTTAGGTTGAATGTTATTTCTAATAATTTACTATTTTTTGTTTGGATTTTATTTCTGTTGCAAATCCTAAGGTTTTAAAGGTTTTATTATTTCTTTCCTTATTTTTCTGTAGTTCTGCCGTTGCAATTTCTTAGAAAAAATAGACTGTTATACCTGTATAATCCTATATCATTTTTTGTTAAAAATATTTGCTAATTTATTGATTATGAATATACCTCTGAAATATACCATCATAGCTACCCATTGTTACATTAAAGTTGTTGTTATTATTATTATGGCCCTTTTTTGTCCATTTTTTTTTTTTTTATTGTGGTATAATATTGATTTAGGCAAAATAGAAAAATACATTGAAGAAAGTTATCTCAAAATACTAATTAGATTTATTACTCAGTTAATGAAGAAACTAATAATTTTTTAAGTTTTAAGTTTGGCATCTTCAGAAGTCCGTCAATATCGAAATAAAGTCTTTTCTTGTAATTGGAACCAAAGTTCCTCATTCACACATTCTCATTTTTTCTATTTGTGTGTGAGTGTGTGTGCGTAAAGCCTCTCTTGCGTTTTTTAGTTTATTACAGTATTACTCGTTTACTTTCATTTTTATGATTTTAAATCGCGTGTTTCTTAAGCACATTTCTTGTGTTTTGACATTATGACTCACAACTGCGTATCGTCGAGCTGCACCAATCCTCCAGTCTCCCGTTCCTCCTTAAGTCTTAAAAATCGTTGAACAAAAGACAAAGAAAAACCCCGACTCGGCAGCGATATAAAAATAAAATAAAATGCAAAGTAAAGAAAGACTATCTCGTCTTGTTTGATTTAAAAATAAGTATTATATTGGCAATAACACACACACACGCACAAACCCCACAATCATATTTTTACGTTTTTTTTTTGTTTTTACAAATACAATTTTGATTTTTGAAGTTTGCCAACTGAAAAAATTTAGAGACTCGTTTGAAACAAAAAAAAAATTGGTAAAACGATATTTTTTGTGCATAATTTTTTTAATTAAATATTTTAATAAAAATAACCGAGTTTAACTTTGCACAGTTTTTATTGTTGGCAAAAAATAAGTTGAGAAAAAATAAAAGTATAAAAAAAAAATTAATAATCAAATTCTGTCTGACACCATGCAGTAGCATAAGTTAAAAAAATGATTTAATTTTTTTAAGATAATTAATTGCTTTATAAAAAAACGAAGAAAAAATCAAGTGTCTACTAAAAGAACTCTACACTTGATAACTAACATAACTTATTTTTCATTTTGCTTTCTTACTCCGAGTAAATAAGAGTCGGACTCGTGTTAGTTATTCATTTATGATTTAAAGTAGTAGTGATTAAATTTCAAGTGTTTTTTTTTTTGTCACTACAAGAAAAGGAAAGAGAGGAAGAAAGTACAGACTGACGACAAAAATGAAAACTTATTTACACACGCAGGGAAAAATGAAGTTCATTTTTTCTCTCTCAAGTCCTATGTGTCTTCAATTATTCATTCAAATGAAACGTTCCCGTTAATATTATTACTATTTATTTATCAACAGCTGTGTTTAGTAACAATAGCGTACATAAAAAAAATACTTTTGATTTACGGAACGATTGATTTGAAAGAAGTAGCGCCTGGATCAAGCCTGTTGTAAACGTTTGCTGTGTAGTGTACCGTTTGAACATGTAGTATTTGTATTAATAACGACAAGCTCTTCTTAATTGTGTTATACGTTTTATTTCTTTACTCGGGATAGTGAGCATTAGAAGAATTCATTTACTGTTACACTCTAATACTGGACCCATTCAGAAAGCGTGTATTGCCGGTAAGTAAGACTTAGAAGTAAAAAGAGGAGAAATATTAAGTAGAGTTCGTTAAAAACTCGTCGAGAGATGTGCTAATGATCGAACCGTAAACACCGTTACCCGGCCTGTCTTTTCTGTTTATTTCATTTATTTATTCTTTTTTTCATCCAAAAAAATTCTAACTCCTTTTAAAAGCTGATAGGAGTTGCAATTATCGTCATAATGTTAAATAAAGCTCGCCAATTTGTTAGCAGTTTCATGGGCAGCACGGCCATTCTTAAATCGGAAAGTTACCAACGTACCCGCGCATCACGTCGTCATCTAGAAGAAGAAGAAGACGGTGATGATAGTGGAACTTCTAACAATGCACGTCAACGTTCATCGGGTATTTTCTCTTCGAAACGATTGGCATCGGGGGATGATGCAAATACTAGCATCACCTATCCATATACGCGACCGACTTTTCTATTCCTAAGTCCAGATCAAATGGAACAGGCAAAGGACCATTCCGTCAGACCCGTGGTTGTACCCGATGATTTACAAAAAATCCCACTCAGGGCCGGATACGCCGAGTGAGTATCTTTTTTTTTTTTCAATTCATGATATACCAATTTTTTCATCAATCAAACTCTATAAAATTGTTTATTTTTATTAGCTACTGCTGACCCATTCTTTGAATCAGAAACCTTAAGCTTCTAACTTACAATCAGTGACATTAATTCCCAGATCTTTACTTTATGTGCTAGTGCTCAGCTTACTTGTAATGAATATCTCAATTACAAACCTCGTTTTTCTCTAGTCCAATTAGGATATTTTTATTCATTTATTTCCCTCTAATTTTGTTTCCCCATTTAAAAAAAATTAACCAATAGCTTGGTGCCCCGTGGTAAGCTCTAAAAAGTCTACTCTAAAATTACCATTGTTTATTATTTTATCTCAAATAGACTTAAAAAAAAATTGTTTTTTTTTGTGTGTGTGTTTTATTTTTTAAAATTGTTTCTTTCTCTCCGATACAGTTAGTGTTATACGCACAAAAAGCGGAAAAAAAATAACATTAAAATGCACACAAACATTACGGCTCCTACTTGCTTGAGTCTTTCATATACTGTCGACTTCATCAGTTTTCGTTCAAATAAACAATAGTTTAAAAATCTATTTTTTTTTTTTGTTACCATTAAAAATGCTGTTCCTGTAAGTTTAGTAATGTATTTTGGAGTTGTCATTTGCTAAATTAAAACTAAAAGTCTCTCCACACTACTTATGGTTTACAACATTGCCAATTATTTTTTTTAAACTTCCGGAAGTATTTCTTTTTTTTTATATATGGCTAAAAAAATCTAAAGCTAAACCACTGATTTTTTTTCCGTCTCTTTTTTATGTTTTCCATTTAAATTAAATACATATTCAATAGAGATTAGTGCACAGAAAAATCCAAAGTGTTTTTTAAACAAGAAATATGGTCGTAAAGAAGAAAAAAAACTTTTCTTTTTTGTTTCTTTTCTTAATTTCTTTTGTAACTTGAATCTATTTTGAAATCGCAACGGCAAAAAACGTTTTTATTATTATTTTGTAGAAGTATTTCCTTGAGAATTAATAAATGACATCAAATGTCTTGTTGATGGTTCAGTAGGGCTCCCTTACTTAACAAATTCCTAATTAAAGTCTCAAGTTTATTAAGTTACATCACGGATTTAAATTAATTTTTATTCAAATTAATTCTGTTTTCAACAGTCGCTGTAATAGACTGTACACACTGTGGTCTGCTTACTTTTATTTAACAATTTTTAAACTCTATATCGGTGGGTTTTACTTTTAAAACCTTAAATTTGAACGTAACATATTCGTATATCCGACTCATTGTAGTAATGAAGTAGATATTGTTTTTAAAATTTTCATTTGTATTTGATAATTAAGGATACAACAAAGTTGACAACTGAACTTAAATCAATACTGAAATATCTAATTTGCTAGCCACTCCTTAATTGTTTGACGACAAAAACTTGAAGAAAGTGTCTGATTACGTACACAAACCTTTCTTTACGGCAGTTGTTTTCTAAGCTATGGATGACTGCTTATACAACATTTTCTTATATTTTAGTGTTTTTTTTGTTTTTTTTTTGTTTTTTTCGAATTAGTTCTCTCCTTTTAAATTAGAAATGTATTAGTTTACAAAAATTAACGGTTTTAAATGAACACTGCAATTATTAATATTTATTGTCAGTTTATATAGCAAACTTAAAAACACAAATAAGATTTTTAGTAGTGGACAATGATGCAACCATGCAACAAAAAGTGGATAAATCGTGTTTCTTTGAATTAGATTTTTCTTAGATTGTTTATTAAAAAAAAAAAATTTTCATTGAAAAACTTAAAAAATTCTGGTGTTTTAATTTTTGAAAACTGAATTTCTAATTTTCCAATGGCTAATAAAAATTCTATTGCATCTAGAAAACAAACATGTGCGAGAATTGAATACATGTGACGAGTACGAACAAGGATGACGGTGTCTAGTGTCATGACACTGACTGACAGTTTCTGTTTTTATAAAGTTTCAAATTTAATTTTTCTATGGTGTAAAAAAAAAAAAAAAAACCCAAAAAAAAACCCCAAAAATATCAAGTTCTTAAAATTTTCTCTCGCTTTCTGTCTAGAAGTTGGTTATTTATAATTTATTGAATATTAATTAGTTTCAACAAAGTAAAAGTGCAATGAAGTTTTTAAAAAAGTTACTTTTATTTTAATTTTATTTTATGTCTAAAGAAAGATGAAACTAAAAATATTTTTTAAAAAATACATAATTTTTTTTTATGTCTGTACATTGTACATATAAAAATAAATTTAGTACACTGTGTGTACATCATTGTACTTAAAAAAATGTCTTTAAATTTAGTGTAGTGTAAAAAGATAAGAAAAATGTGCTAAAAATTAAAATGCTAATTAATTATTGCAAAGATGTATTTTATTTTTATGATTTTTAACCTGTATTTTATTTGGTAAGTTCACTGACTGATTTTTTTAAATGTACGAGGGCCCACCATAGTTACTGAATTTACAAAAAAACTCTACGAAAAAATAACATCACAAAATTTATAAAATGCCAAAAAATAGATAATATATATTTTTTTCTTTCTAACAGTTATGTCCCTATCGTGGGATTGCTGTCTGGAAGATTCGGTAATTTTGACAAGGTAGGAAAATTCGGTAACTATGAAATTGAAATAATAAAAAAAATTCGATTGAAAATTGATTTAGGGCCGTTCTTTATTTACTTCATTTTTTAATTAAAATAATAATATGAAAAGAAGATACAAGAAGTTAACTTAAATCGTTTTTATTTGCTTGGAAAATGAAAACAGTAGTAATTAAAGTAAAAATACTCATAATAAAAAATAATGGAAGGCAGGATGGCTTAACCCCCCCCCCCATCCAGACAATACGGCCCTGGTATTGTTCTAGTGGGGCTTTAGACCCCCATAATTAATAATACGTTTTTTAAAATATTGGAAGGAGGTCTAGCCCTCTAAGCTCTACTTCTGCAAGTACGGCCCTGGTATTGTGGTAGTACGGTGGAGTAATGGATAGTGGCTCGGATTGAGGAATCGGAGAGCCGAGTTTGAATTCCAGTTGAATCCATTACATTTATGTGCTAAATATCCTTGGGAAAGGTATGAATCCTCTTCTTCTCCCTCCAAGTAATGGGTAAATAGCAGGACAGACCAGATTCTAATGCAGAAAGAAATGGTAACCTACTGTTGGGGAAAAAAATCTGCCTCGTCAGTCATGTATCGAAAGATACATGATCGCCTAAGTGTGTATCGCACATGACTTAAGTGGGGTTTTATTTGGACACCACTATTTTCAGTTATTTAAAAATATAGGAAATGTGGGCTTAGTCACCGAATCAACACTCCAGAGTGGCCTTAAAATCATTAGTCTTTTATTTCCTACTTTGTCAAAATTACCGGATCTTCCTAAGTTTGTAGGATTTCCAACTCATGTTAAGTTCTGTTATATGAGGTTGGGCAAAAAAGTTCATAGGCTGACTGTGAAGGAGTGATGCTAGAGCTGTGAAATCTTGCATGTGTTAATTTCAACTCTTCTTAATAATAACTATATTGTTTATTTCCAGGTAAAAAAAAACTGACATCTGACTGTTCAAAGAAGACTTGAAAAGTAACTATTAATGACTCCCCTTGAAAATGGATAAATTTTGGCATCATTAAATTATCAAGTACAGAAAAAGGGTTTAGTTGCCAAAGATATTTATGCTGATATGGTTGCTACATTTGGGGATGACACTCCAGCTTTATCAACAGTGCAGAAGTTGGCAGCTGAATTTAGGAGGAGAAGGGAGAGTCTTGAAGATGACCCAAAGAGTTTGAATGTCTTGCAACTGCCTTCACCACATGTTGATGAATGACAGGTGATTGACTATAAAATCAAATAACATATAGCATATCCTATGAGAGAGTTGAGAATATTTTGCACAGTGAACTTGGCATGACAAAGGTTCCTGCTTGGTAGGGTACCCATGTCTTTGATACCCTCCCTATTCTCCTGATTGATTATCATCTGTTCACCAATATGAAAAAAAAAAAAAACACTTGGTTGGGAATAAGTATTGCAGTAATGATGACTGCTGTTGATGATATTTTTGATCAACAGGATGAACAGTCTTCTTTGAACAGTCAGATGTCAGTTTACCTGAAAAGAAACAAGGCAGGTATTAATAAGAAGAATTGAAATTAATGTATACATGATTTCACAGCTCGAGCTTCTCTCTTTCATAGTCATCTTTATTAACATTCCAGCTCACCCTTATAATAAGGGGTGGACAGATGAGGACACCCACACACACTCTCTCACTAATATATATATATATATATATATATATAATATTGTCTTATTGAGACAAAGTGTAAAAGCTATTAATGATGTGTTTTTCCAGAGCATCTGCTCTCTTTGGATTCCTCGGGTTAGAATGAAAGACAGACAAATCTGTATGTGAGAGGAAATGCCTTGGATAAGTAGCCAGAAATCAAATTAAATTAGATACCTTATCATCTCCAATGTCTAAACTCAAGAGAGTGTTCATGTTTGTTTGTTTGTTTGTTTTACCTATATTGGAGGCATTCTGTGTGGTTTGATTTTTAATTGGTCTTCCAAAATTAGTGTCTTTTATTATATATACATACCTACATATTCATGTACATACATACACACCCACCCACCCAGGCATGTTCATATATTAGAGCCATTTTTTTATCCTTGTACATGCATGTACACACACACACACACACACACACACACACACAAATACACACTATAGTCTTTTCTTTTTTATGTATACCAGTACACATAAAAGTATTTATTACCTGTACACCTGTCATTAATAAATTTTCCACTTTGTCTCATCATCTTCACTTTTGTTTCGGATACTATTATGCATCCAACAAAACCACATGCTTCTTATCAGATACAGTGTATACTACCCCCAAATACCCAAACTGGAGAGAGGCATGCCTAATTGGGGGCCCAGGTAGGGCTTTGTGACCCTTGCTATCAACAATTA